GTGCTTTGTAGCTAACGCAGCAACCCAAGGTATGGGAAGGTACTGGCAGAGCCAAGAGCTCTCATTTTAGGCTTGCCCTGTAATCTTTGGTTTAGCGGGTCCAGGTACAGCCTTCAGAAGATTAACCGCTCTGGATAACTGCATAGAGAGCCCAGCTCAGAATCATGTAGATGACAAATTGAACAAAAAATAACTAGATAAAAAATAAAATAAAGAAAATGAAATGGTTAGTAATGGAAAGAAAATGTCCATCTTCCTAGAACACTAGTAAAATACTGAAGCATGCTGTGAGTCGATGGGTTATTTCTGGTTGGCCAATTGCTTTTTATTTGCCCCTATCCAAATCCTTCTGTATGCAGCGGTATAAGCCCCGCTGCACGTCATGCGACTTATGAGTTTGAAGTCGCATGACAAGCTGTATCCTATTACTGGCAATGGCTCCATTCGGTGTGACTCAAGTTGCAGTGACTTCAAAAGAGGTTCTTGCACTATTTTTGTGCAACTTCATTGTGACTTGCATAGAGATCTATTAATGAAGTCACACTGAGTGGCAACAAGTCGCAATGAAGTTGCACACTATTGTTGGAGCTCGCAGTCACATTGATGTGAACCGAGGCTAACCCAGTTGTGTCAGATGAACCTGTGTACCTTAATGAATGATAAAACCATTTCATTTTTTGCAGCTTACCAGTCCCCAGATGTAGTGACTTCATTGTTTTTTCTTTTTTCAGGCTTGTTTTATTTTTATCCTGTGAATAACATCCTGTCCCTTTGTGGCTACACTCATTTCTTCACTGTTTTTATAGAGTGATCCATGGTTGTCACACAGGCTGGACTGCAAACATGCTTGACTTTGTTCATGTCCACTACATGGTGGATTGATGGGACTTACAGTTTACACAAAAAAAGATAAGGATGTTTGTGCTTCCAGTTCAGCTCACAGAAAGTGACAAGCACACTGTACTTCTGGTAATATCAACATGTAATAGGTGTACTTGCTGAAAATGTTTTTAGGCTGAAAAAAGAAAACTAATGCAACCACTAGGACTGGTAAGCTAAACTACATTTATTTATTTACATTTGAATTTTGATTTGGGTTACAATAAATATGCTCTATAGTGATATTAAATCCTACTGTTAGGTTTTTTCAAAATTTCAAATGAGAAAGTCTAGACTTATATATTATGTAAAGTCTGCTTCCCTTAACCCTTTTGCGTTGGGCAATTGACATATGGCATAGTCTGGAATTCAGGATGGTCTGACAAGCTGACTATCAGTGGAACATTTCCACGCCCTGAAAGGAAAGGTTTGGATGACGCAGGACCTTGGCTTTGGGCTGATGTTTCTTGGGGGGGTGAGAAGCCAGGACTTCCAGTCCTATGATGCGGGCCAGATTTGAACAGCTGAAGCCGTGGGAGTGTATAGTTTGCAGGGGTTGTGGGGGACCCCACAGAGAGGGGGAGAGAAGGGGAGGTGGCACCAGGTGACACTGAAGGAGCATTTTGATTGGGTGCTCTATAGTGATATTAAATCCTTGTCACATATGTTGCCGTGCAATTGACAACCAGACAAGCTGAGAACAATCCAATCCCTATGGCCCAGGGCCTTTAGTTTTATGATTGTGTTAAAGGTGTAAATTCAATAATCCCTATTTAAAGGAAAATTCACCTTTTAAAAAAATAAATTCACAATTTTTTGCAGGTAAAAAACTGTGCATTTATTTATTTATTTTTCTGCAGCCTGTAAAGCATTGCACCAGCAATCAGCAGATCACTGGTGCCATGCACATCTCCTGCAGACCTGTCAGTGTATCTGCGTGCCAGTACACCTCGTACAGGCAAGCAGATACTTTCTGACAGGAAGACTCAATGAACTACCATGGCTCTGCACAGCGCCATGGTAGTTCATTGAGAACTACAAGCCGACAGCTGCAAAGGCAGAATACTGTGAATGAGTGACACGGCCAGGCAAGTGGAGCTCCACATGGTTGTGTTTTTTTTTAAATCGTGACAGCTAGCGGGAGGAAGAAAATGCTAGCGGTCACAATGGGGATCGGGGGTGGGGGGGGGGGGGGGTGGTGTGGAGGGGCAGCGATCTATTTGCAATAAATTACGTTACACCCTGAATATGTGTGTAACGTTACGAAAAGTGAATTTATCTTTGAACTCTAAAGCCCCTACAGGTCAGTTAAAAGTGTCATCTAAGTTGCATATCTATTTACTTGGCATGCCTCATCTTTCATATCCTACCAAAAATTGGGTAATATATTGCCTCTGTGTATCCTAAAATTAATTTAAATGTATTTTTTACTGAAATGTTGTACTTGATATATCATTGTGCTAACATGGCTCAACATAAAAAATTGGAATCACCACCATTTTATTCTCGGGGTCTCTACTTTCAGAAAATTACTTTTTTGGGGGTTTAGGTAATCTGCAGGCCTAAAATGATTTTTAATGTGTACAAAATAAAATACCTCAGTCAGCCGAAACAGCCCCCAAGCTAAAATTTACCACGTCGACTCATCAATGCTATGCAAGTCACATTTAAAATAGAAAAACCTGTAGCTTCTACTAGTGCTTCTACAAGTCAAGGATCCCTGAAGTGGCTCAAGACTGTAAAAACTTTCTTAGTACTGTACACTCTTACTTCAATTTGTTCTGTATAGATACTGAGACCCTCCTGACAAATGATTCCCAGCTGGTCCCTGAAATGCTTCCCGCCTAACCTGTTTGTGGGCATCTCAGGTGGGAGTCCAGGCATGCCACAGCCCCTGCTCCCTCCTTTGAGACATCTGCAGGAGCCAATTGCGCCTCTGTCCTCAGTTTTTTGTGAGCAGTGCAGATTATGGAGGAGTCGGTGGTGGTGACATGGACAGCAGGTAAGTGTATAGGGAAAGGGGAGTTGTAAATGTAGTGTGACATTTTTTACTTTAATGCTGTAAATACATTAAGGTATAAAAAATACTTAGGCTTTAGTTCTACTTTACGTGCCAGTTTATATTTTTCAGTTACTAAAAATCTAAGGACCAAAGATTTAACTTGAAACACTGTACTGCTTTATTTTCCTAAAATGTATCTGAAAATAATTTTTTTTGTAGTTCTGGATAGATTGGGGAAGGGTTAAAACCTGTGCAAATTTTTATTGATGGCTGCATTCTTGATTGCCCCACTATTTGTTCTAGTGATCATTGTTAATAGTACTAGAAGTTAGAATAAATTGTAAATTTTGCATTGTCACTGGAACTGAACTAGAGTAAAAAGCTTAAAAGAGAAGTTTGGGAACTGAAAAAAAAATCATACTCAATTAGATGGCTGCAGCACCAATCCCAGCTGCAGATGTCCCCCACCTACTCTACATGAACAACTGAGTAATCAAAGACCAGTGATCACCCAGTTCTCAGTCCTAAAGTGTTACTAAACCCAGGACCCTGCATTCACTATATCTGGTCTCCCACAGTACTCACAACATGAAATGCAATTATTTTAGTAAATATAAACTGCTAAATACTGTGGTGTGGTGGCGTCAGACCCCAGCCCTTCTCACCAAACTCGTGACCGAAGGACTAGCCAATCTAAAACCACGCTGTCACGTGCATAACAATGCCACGCCCAGCTGCACCCTGCACAAAGATTTTCCAGCTAATGGACCACAATCTGTGTACCTGCAGCCTGGGTACAATTGTTACTGGGTCAGGTTAATTACGCAATTAACCCTTCATGCTGCCACCACCTCCTTCTTGTACAGAGAAAGAGAAACTCGGCAATATCAGCAATACACTATGATGTTTGCATAAGCATCTGCATACCACTGTCACCGCAGGCAGAACTATATGGAAGTCTAAAACACACAGTAGCGCTCTTCAGAGGCAGGGATTCTTAGTTTGCATTAAAGAGCTTTAGAAACAGTTCAACACTTTCAGAAAGTATGATTTATTACTAAAAGGTCAAAAGGGTGCAATAAAAATATTTACAGAAAAGATGTAGCCAATATATCTATATAAATATACAGAGAGCAATAACACAGCAAAGAGATAACAGGAATTTAGATAAAGTACTTGCCAAAAGCCTTGGTTTAAACAGCTTTCAAGTTTCAGAGTAAAAGGACCATCTCCCAAAGTTAGTTCCGATGTTAAAAGGGAGAATCTTCAACTTAGCTCAACTCAGCTTTTCTTAACTCCAAGCATAACAGCCTATTTCTAGGAACTCAGCAGGGTGTCTCCTTACAGCAGAGAACCAATCGCCTCATTTGGGGAGGGGTGTTGGGGCGGAGACCCAAGCTAGAACCTAAAACCCTCCCAGTTGATGTTATGGTTCATAACTTACTCTCGGTGCATTTAGCAGCCTTGCCACTGGTAGATGAATACGCAGAATCATCTGCTGAAATATATGAAATATGACATACCTGCTGGGATGGTTAAGGAGATATCATTTTCTGCTCTCCTGTTGATGCCAGCTAGGGGATGTAATATATCAGACGACTTGTACTAAAGAGACCGATGTGAATATATGCCTGTTTTTTATGTACATCTTTCATAGTCCAAGATATGTAATCATAGGGGAAAGTAGATGTTGAATGTGATGTCTGCTTTATGGCTTATCTGGAATGTCTTTGAGGGTCAGCGAAGGACTGGTTTATGGTTTTACAATCCTTCTCCAAGCAGAGTCTCACAGACATCTGGGGGCCAGGCGAATTGGGAGCTCTCCCGCTGGGCCTTGATGCCTTTTTGAACTCCGCATCCAGGGACCACGTGACACTCAACAGAGAGGGAGGGGGATGAGGGAAGAGGGAGATGCAAAATGGATGACCGCGTCCATCTCTGTGTGCACGATTGCTACAAATACCTTTTCTCATCAGCAGTTAGAGCAGTCTTGTGACTTCTATCAGTGTCCTGCTGAGCACATGTTAAAACTTGAAGGAGGAGTTTTCATTTTGATCTAGGAGGATGCAGAACCCCTGACCTCTGTTTGGACAGTGCTGATTGGCTCTGTGCTGATCACATGCACTCTCCCAAGACGAAAAAAGCCCTCTCTAGCAATACACACCAAACTGAGCAAATGCAGAGTGTCTCCACACGATATGTCTTATCAGGAGATAAGAGGGGGACACTGGAAGAAGGGAAGGCTAAGAGAAGTCAGCATCAAACAGCCTTTTTTCACAATGCAAATGATTAACCCCTTAGGTTCCACGGTGAGTATAACAAAGCATGCTTTACTGCATATACAGACTGATTTTACTGTTTAGTGACACTTTAAATCTGCAGATTGCTGGGGACTGTCAGTCTCCAGCTCTCTGCTCTGCCCATCCAGCATTCTCTGCAGCTCCAGACTGAGGAGAGGGTGGGCATGTTGAGAGGCTGGGCCAGCTGCCAGTCAGACTTCTGGACAAATCCCAACACTAAAGTCGGGATCTTTCCAGAGTCTGGCCAGGCTCTGTGATATCAAATGACAATGGGCTTTAGCCTGCTTTCAGATGAAAATGGGTCACAGGAGTGCAGAACTAAGCACACTCCAGTGACCTACAATATAACCAAAAGAGCTTTGACCATACATCTCCTTTTTAACCACTTCCCGTCCAGCCCATGTACATAAACGGCTGGACGAGAGTGCTGCCGAAGCAGGTTGACGCTTCTAAACGTCACCCGCGTTCACTGCCTGTGTGCACTCCCAGGGAGTGTGCTGCACTGCGATTGGTACTCGCTGTGTCCTGAGGACACAGAGGAACCCAGATCGCTGTACGGGACCTCCTGTGTGAGGTCCCGATTCATATGATCACTGGCCAATCAGTGATTACATGAACAGTAGTAAACAAGATGTCATTTCCTGACATCATTGCTTACTAGTTGTGAAATCTGTGAATGATCACAGAGGTCACATGGTACAGGGCTATTCACAACATGTGTACCATGTGACAAGCTGTGATCAATCACAGCTCTCGCAGTATTTCTCAATGGCTGTAAGAATGCAGCCAGAGAGAAGTAGAAATGATTGCTTTTACAGCCTTTATGGGCATAAAAGCAATCCGTGTAAAAAAAAACAAAAACCATCACCCCCCACAAGTAGTGCAGTGTCACTATGGTGACACTGTACTGTACTGCTAGGGTGACAGTATGTAAAAAAAATATATAAAAATTTTTTTAAAAAAAATTTAGAAAAATTTATAATTTTTGGTTATAAACTAATTTGGGGTTTTTTTACTAAAAAGATAGCTGAATACATTTTGGCCAGTATTTAGGAAGAAAGATGATTTATTTGCAAAATTTTATAAGAAAAACACTTTTTTTTTCAAAATTGTTGGACTTTTCCATTTATATAGCAAAAAATAAAAATCCCAGTGGTGAATAAATACCACCAAAATAAAGTTTTATCTGTCTCAAACAAATGCTAAAAAAGTCATATGGGTACAGTGTTGCATGACCGCGCAATTGTCATTCAAAGTGTGATAGCACTGAAAGCTAAAAATTGGCCTGGACAGGAAGGGGGTGAAAGTGTCCGGACTTGAAGTGGTTAATACTAGGACACTTTTTCAATTGTGAAAACTGTGTAAAAGAGGAATTCAATTACTTTGGAAAAAGTTTCTTCTCCTTTGCTGTTATGTATACAGGACAGGAAGCTAAGGGATTTATCCCCAGTGGGACACATGGCAAAAAACAATGTGACAGGGTTTTTCCACTCCCCACTCTAGCAAAAAAATTTTTTTGGTTTAAATATCCTTTAAAGAATAGAAAATGCCTATTGACCTTCTGTCCTTATCACTTCCTGTGGGCAGAACCAAAGCACAAACAATGTTATCTTCCTTCTGTAAACTACTAAACCCCCACATCCTCAATCTGCCCAAACCTGCAACTGCTACAGCTAAGTGTGGTTAAAATAACCTCAGATGAGATGCCCGATTACCACTAGATGGAAAAAATGACCCTACCTACTATATTTGACTTACTGAAGCAAATTAAAGAAATGAGGCATATGGAGCATATTACGACGAGAACGCAAAACAGGGAAATCATAGTAGTGTGAACCTAGCCTAATACAACACACCATGGGGTTGATTTACTGAAACTTGAGAGTGCAAAATCTGGTGCTGGTGCAGCTCTGCATAGAAACCAATCGGCTTCCAGGTTTTATTGTCAAAGCTTAATTGAACAAGCTGAAGATAGCTGATTGGCTACCATGCACAGCTGCACCAGATTTTGTACTCTCCGGTTTTAGTAAATCAACCCTTATGTTTTACAGGCTGTAAGCTTATGTAGAAGATGTACATTCAGGTCAAAAAAGGGTGAAAGTGTGAAAGCTGAATAGATGGCATGTTTTTGGCATCTCTGCAAAAAAATGTAACTAAGCCCATGGTGGGAAAAGTTGATTTGCACAAAATATTCAAGCCCCAAAACTGGATTGCTGGGGTGAATTGTTAACAGAGTGCTATGTGTCATCTTTCACATGACTGTCATATTGACTGTCATATGCCTTTAATTGTTTCTATATTTTGTTTCTGCTCCTTCATTTCCCTTTGGTTTAGTTAATGCAGTATAGATAGCCCTCCCCCTTTCCCAGAAATGCATTGCAGCTCTAGCCTCATGTCATGGAGCAGGAAACATTATGATCTTTTGACCTATTGAATGTTCATTGTTGTAAGATTCTCTCAGTTTATGGAATAAACTTCACAAGATCTACAAGATATCTTATCAATTGAGTCACTGACTCTGGTATCCAACTGAGGTTGAAGTTATCTCTATCTCATCACAACTGTAAGTTACAGAGATCACACTATCAGTGCTTAGATTGGAGAGACAGAACCAGGGGCGGACTGACCATTCGGGTACTCGGGCACTGCCCGAGGGCCCAGGGTCAGTAGGGGGCCCCATGAGATGCCCCTAGTACCTTTCATAGGCTTTTTCTGGGTGTGGTTTTAAGTGTGGTTGAGAACCCAGGGGCCCAATGAGTTGTCAGTCCTCTGGACAGAACACTATGTAAGAAGCTTTAAAATCTACAGCTCCCTTTTAACTGACATGCTGTTGTTTTGCTTCAGACCTAAAATACAAAATAAAGGTAAAACATTACAAGCGCTATTGAGCCGTACCCGTAAAACATTGCTGCGCTACACATTATATCTGACATTTCAGGATAATGAGCCCTTTGGTGGGCTGCTTGATGAATGAAACAGACAGTGATTCTGAGAATGTGAATCATAAAATCTTGAATTAAATCAGCCCGAAACAGCATTTGCAAAGTTATTACATGATTTCCGTTTTTTCTTGTGTTATAACTTGGCACTGTACAGGTTCTGCTGTTTTGCCAGAATGGCTGATTGAAGAAATACAACAGAATGTTGAAAAGATATTTGTTTCTACAAATGACATTGGCCAGCTCTTTAGTTCATAAAGAGGTCTTCACAACAAGTAAGGTCAGCCATTAAATTGCTAATACTCTCCAAGAAAACCAACAACAATGCTAAATCTATAAAGTCCACATAATATAATTCCTCGAAGCTGTTTCTTTTACAGTGCTTCTGAATAGGACTATAGACTCTAGGACCGGGGCTCTTTGCTGGGCTGCTGTCCTCACTGAGAATTAGGGCTCATTTACACTAGCGTTTGGGAGGCAGTAAAACCACATGGAAGACCACGTTTTTACTGACCCTCAACCACTCCCCCTTTAGCTGCAAACCAAGGGTCAGGGGTGTGGTGTCTGCGATGCTTTGTTTTGCAGTCACAGAAGACTGAAAGTAACCCAATCAAGTGAATGGTTTCGTCCCACAGCCAAATGCAATGCCTGAGGTTGCAGCAGTGTAGGGCTGCATTTATAGGGTTAAAACAGATCTGGGCTGGATCACTTTTCACAGAAGCGGCATTCCTTGCCACTAGTGTAAACAAGCCTTTATAGAGGTTGATGCAATGAACCAGGAAACACATTGGCAACCGTATTAACCACTTGCCCTCCAGAGGATTTACCCCCCTTCCTGATCAGCCCATTTTTTTGGATTACGTGAAAGTTATAGCGTCTACAGATGGCGGTATATATATACTGTAATTTTCATTTTTATTCTAGTAATGGCGGTGACCGACAACTTATAGCAGTGCTGCGGCAGGCATTCTGATACTGGGTAGGAACTGATTAACTGCCATTGACATCCCAATGACACTAATACAGTGATCACTGCTAATAAAAAGCACTGACACTGTACTAATGACACTGTGCAGGAAGGGGTTAACATTTGGGGCGATCAAAGGGTTAACTGTGTGCTGTTTTACTGTGTGTGCTTTTACTAGGGAGACATGCTGCTGTGTATTTCTCTGCTGTGCAGAGAAATACACAACAGCATGTTACTGCTGGCAGGAGAGAGACCTGTGTTGTTTACAAACAGGTCTCTCCCCTGTCCATGTTACTCGCGGGGTCCCAGTGATCAACATCTGTAGCACACGCACCCCCTTCCTGGAAATGCAAATCACATATATATATGTGTGATTTTGTGCAGTCCTGATGCTCTGTAGCAGTATTTCTGCTATAGGGCGGCAGGGAAGCTGTTAAATTAGAAGGTAGCAAGGTGCACAAGATAAATATTGAGGTTGACGCCATGCAACAATATTCTCTAGGGAGCACCTGCAAGTTTAGTAGGTTAAAGTATATATGAACCTTGTAAAACAACCTATTCAGTTTAAAGAATATATATCAAATAACCATGCAGCGCTAATACGTACAATGATGCATGCAAATAAACATTTGGTGCAGATGATAACTAGTGAACACTATTAAATATTAAAAAGGATTATCTAAAAAGTCCAGAAATAGTAATGCTGGTGAATATAAATCTTTCAACAAGAGTGTTCTTGCGGTGCATAGTATATAGCAATTTCAGGACAAAAAGGTGACACAATATGTGACTTCTGTGACCATATTCCTCCCGCAGAAATGAGTGTAGATTGCACTAACCAGAGAGCGCAATCTTAATGCGCATTTGAGTGTTAACCAACTCCTGGTCATCCGGCTACTGCAAGCTGGAACTGGATCACAGAGTGGTCATCTGGCCTGTATCAGCTGGGCAAACATCACAACCTCAGGGACACCAGATGTCAGAGGACGTGTAGTCGTCTCACCACCGGGGGGAGTCTAGCCAATCCTGATGTGGCCACCAGATCATCCCAATAAGCCTTGAAGGAGGGAGGGCTCGGAAGTAACGAGCCAAGACAGTAGAAGATTCTGATAGTGTAGTACTTTATTATCCACAGTAAAAAGATATATATACAGATAGCTGAAAAACTTACTCACATGTGTAGTGAGCAGCTGGTGTCAGAGAATTCCAAAATGGCCGCCGGCCGTCCACAGGGGCCATGCAGTGTGACGTCACAGGGTATGCAGCACCTCCCTAACGCGTTTCGTGTGATGGCACGTTATCCTGTTTCTAGTTTAAAGAATATGTAAATCCAACATTTCAAATTTCTGATATGTGCCTGATGTACTATGTATAATGTATAAAGAAAAGTATCCTGTTTTCTTTGTACGGCTTCCTTTGTGTGAAGTCCCTGGTGTTCCTGCCAGTCCCTCTGCTTTCCTATCTCAGACTAACCACACTAGCCAGGATAGCACAGCGTGGCCAGTTCTGTAGCAGTGCAGGGAACATAGCGTACTTTCATCCAATTATCAAACATGCCTCCCTGCACAGCCATTCCCTGCTGTTTCTCCTCCCCTACCTCTCCATGTAGCTGAGAACAAAAGGCATGTGATCACTTATAAATAAGGGTTAACAATGTATTTAATGTATTTACAGTGTTTTTTTTATATCTATATTCAAATGTTTTACCTTTTCATTTCTATTTTAAACTGCGTGGGCTGTTTTATAAGGTATAACATTTGCATATATATACAATGATGCATAAAAAACATAATAAATACCTTTTTTTAAAAAAACATAAAATAAATGATCCCATAGTCTCTGTTCTAAGTTGTATACATGGCTTAGAATGCTGGGTGCAAAAAAATAGCAGTGCACTGATTTTCCCAGTGAATGGTTGTGCAGGGGAGGGGGAATGTCAGCACATGTCTTGGCCATTGGAGGACAGGCAGGCTGTTCTATCAGCACAGCCAGAAAAATGACCACACTGAGATAAAAGTGCTCTCATACCTAGTGTGGTCAGTCTGAAATAGTAAAGCAGGGGGACTGGTAGGATCATCAAGTATTTCACAGAAAGGAAGCAATACAAAGAGAATAGGATACTTTTTAAATCCTTTAAACTATCCTCTTAATAACTCTCTGCTGATGAATTATCCATCTTATGCAAAGGCTTGCATTTTGCCACTACCTATGACTCTAAAACAGGGGTGGGCAAACTTTTTGACTTGAGGGCCGCAATGGGTTCATATATTGGACCCGGGGGCCGGACCAAGAGTAGATGAATGATGTGTATGTGTCATCCATAGTAAGTATGGTAATATTCCCCCATAGTAAGCATAGTAATTAATCACCCATATAGTAATTCGTCCCCCATATAGTAATTCGTCCCCCATAGTAATTCATCCCCCATATAGCAATTCATCCCCCATATAGTAATTCATCCCCCCCATATAGTAATTCATCCCCCATAGTAATTCATCCCCCCTATAATAATTCCTCCCCCATATAGTAATTCATCCCCAATAGTAATTCATCCCCCATATAGTAATTCATCCCCCATATAGTATTCATCCCCATCATAGTAATTCATCCCCCATATAGTAATTCATCCCCCATATGGTAATTCATCCCCCATATAGTAATTCATCCCCCATATAGTAATTTCCCATAGTAATTCATCCCCCATATAGTAATTCATCCCCCATAGTAATTCATCCTCCATATAGTAATTCATTCCCCATGTCCCCCCTGTGTCAATTCACTTACCTTTGCTCCGCGCGTTCCTCTTGTTCCCGCGCCGTTCGGTCTCCTATGAGGATCTGTCCCCCTCGACGTATCTGCGCATGTGCCAGTTTCAGGCATTAGCAGCCGATCGGCGATCTCCGGCACATGCGCAGATACGTCGAGGGGGGACAGATCCTCATAGGAAACAGGGCGGACTGTGAGAGGAGCCTAGCGGGAGCCTAGCTCCACGGGCCGGATTAAAAGGTCCGCCGGGCCGTAGTTTGCCCATTGCTGCTCTAAAACCTTTGCCCTCTTCAAGGACCTCAATAAGTTCAAAAGAGCTCTCACCATACAGCAGTACTATGCTGACAAGCAACTCGGTATTTCACCCAAGGTGCAAGTGGAGACTGGAACTGTGGATTCCCACCCTGATGACGACATCTGCCTGAATGAAGCCAGCTTAAGGCCCTTTCCTTTCTATATTCCGAATCAGCTATGGATCCAGACCAAACAGATCTGGAGCCCCTTGAGTACTGAGACTATGATGCCATTCACACCACCTTCTGACCACCATCTGTCTTCTATTTATATCAAGCCAAAAAACAGGCTTTTTCTGGAGGTGGCCTTAACAAAAAAAGAGAGGGCGGAATTTGCATTCCATATTTCTACCATCTACAGAAAGTGCACAAGAGTCAAACTCCCCCTGGCCACCCTATCATGACCCCAATGAATAGCCTAACTTGTGGGCTCTCCAACTATGTTTATTTTTTTTTACAGCTGTTAGTTCAAGCTTTACCTGCCAATATTAGAGGTGTGGCCACATAATGGACACCCTCTCCCACTATAGATGGAAAACAGATTATTGCAGGGTATCTTTAAATCATTGTACACCTCTATACCACATGAGGTTGGTCTCAAAGTCCTTAAGGATTTCCTGGCTAAAAGTAACAACTTCATTAGCCATCAAGTCAATTTTATTCTTGAAGCCACAAGTTTTCT